GGTGACTGTCAAATGTGGCTGTCAAATATGGTGGCTGTCAAAAATGGTGGGAAGCATTAATTGCCAAGGAACCACCATTGCACTTCTATAAATAGAAGTGTAGAAACTCAATAGAGAGTAGTCACCACTTTTAGAATTTACTCCTTCCTTTTTTGTTGTAGCAAAAAGTTATTTCTCCTATTTCAATAGTGAATTTTATTTGTTTTTCTCCTTGTATTTAGAGAGAAGTTGTTGTAACTTATATTTTGCTATAGTGGAAGTCCTTCTTTACTTGTCCGTGGTTTTTCTCTCAATTTGTTTGAGAGTTTTCCACGTAAATTCCGTGTCTCAATTTTTATTTGTTGTGTGATATTGCTTCAACCCGATTGTTTGATTTTTCTAATAGTGGCATCAGAGCAAGGTTGCAGGTATTGTTCACGGTAACAGGTGGAAGCCGGTTCAAGTTAAGAAGCAAATCATAGTCATCGCCATGGCAACAAAGTTCGAAATTGAGAAATTCAACAGAGCTAATTTCTCNATGAGATAGAAATCTGCTTAACTTGTTAAGCATTTAAAAAGATAATGAATGGAACTTTGCACTTCACTTCATCTTCTAATGTTTTGTTTACTGGTTTTGATGATTCCAGGATAGTTTCTTTGCTAGCTTTGCCCTTGGTTGGCTCATCACCAACGGTGCTGGTCTTGCTTCCTATCCCATCGACACCGTCCGTAGAAGAATGATGATGACATCTGGTGAAGCAGTCAAATACAAGAGCTCATTTGATGCCTTCTCTCAGATCTTGAAGAATGAGGGTGCCAAGTCCCTCTTCAAGGGTGCCGGTGCAAACATCCTCCGTGCTATTGCTGGTGCTGGTGTGTTGGCTGGTTACGACAAGTTGCAGTTAATCGTGTTCGGAAAGAAGTACGGTTCTGGCGGTGGCTAAGCAGTATTTCTTTGCTATTTAGCTTAAGATGGTGATGAAAATCGGATATTGAGTATTTATCCCAGCGGATTTTTCTTTAATAATTCACATTTTTGGGGAGTCACTCCCTAAACACATAATTTAATTTTGGAATTTTTGATTTCATAAACCTGATTTATAAGAGTTGTGGTCAAATGCCACTGCGGCTCTTGGAGTTTCAGCTTATATCATTTGAGGGAATTTTTCCATGTACCAGTAGTTTTGTTTTCCTGATTATATTCACCTCATAATGCCATCTTGTTCTCTCTCACTCTGCTTGCTTGATGCCATATTTCTTTCTTTATTTTATTCGTTGTTTGAGTGTGCACAGGAATATTTTTCTTCGCCATTCAATAACCATTTGGCTCTCTTTTGTCTTTTCACCTTCTATATTCTATAATATTGTCTTTCATTAGTTATGTGAGATGTGAGTCATAAATTTAATATTATGGAATAAATAATTTGTATGCTTTAGCGGCCAGATCCACGATGGAACAAGCAATTTGCCTGTAAAAATCTATGGCTAGAAATATGCAATATATATATAGCATCTTGGAGCAAAAGAAGATGAAAATTGGATTCCACCCTTGGGAATCTCTCTATAGAAATGGAAATGTCAAACCTCCATCGTCTATTGAGAATATAAGCAGGCGAATCTCCATGTCATAATTGTGCAACCCCTTTTACTGTTTAATTTAGACTAAACAGTAAACTTTGTAGAGAATGAATCCCCAACTGCACTTGTTCTTTCTTTGTTGGTTCTGAGTCACTTGTCTCTCTTATATTCACGGTTGGATCTTTGCCTAAAAAAGATTTTCGATAATGGGAATTTCATGCTTTTTAGCTTGGCCGTGACCCATGAATATATTATTTTATCTCCGTCCCCATTCCCATCATCAAAAGAAAATGACACCTCATCCCCAAATTAGACTCTTTAGGATATGGGAATATTACTAATTATATTCAACGATTTTAATTATGTATTTATATATCATCTTCTAATGGGGATATTAAAGATTAATGAAAAATTAAATACTCATTCATAATCGTATGTAATAATGTAAACATATTTTTTATATAAAATTCACATACGCACAGATTATACATATAGGGATGTGATTTCTCATAATTGGAAGTTTCTAATAAAAACTACAGAAAAATTGCACCCCTTATCGATCAAAATCTCTTCCTCCTCCGTTGATTGTTTATATATATAGGGATGGAGTTAAGGGGTATCGTCTATGGGATCCCACTGCTCATAAGGTTATTATCAGCAGAGATGTGATATTTGCATATAATCAATTACAAAGTGAAGAAAATGATAGCACTCCAACAGAGACCACTACTGTTCAAACAAAAGATAAGTCAAAATTTGAAGATTCTTCTGAAGCAGCACCAGAGCATGAAGGACAAGACTCAGATGAGTCCAATGATATTGAAGTTCGACGATCAACACGTCAGACAAGAAAACCATCATGGCACTCAGGGTATGTTATGGCAAGTAATTCTGCATATTGTCTTCTAACAGAAGATGGAGAGCCATCAACTTTGCAGGAGGCCTTAAACAGTCCTAATGTTTCTCTGTGGATGATAGCAATGCAAGAAGAAATAGAAGCTTTGCACAAAAACAAGACATGGGAACTCATGTCACTACCACTTGGACGAACAGCTATCAATAACAAATGGGTCTACAAAATCAAACTAGATAGCAACAACCAAGTGGAGCGATATCGTGCAAGATTGGTGGTGAAAGGATATGCTCAGAAAGAAGGTATTTATTTTAATGAGATATTTTCTCCTATTGTCAGACTAACAGCTGTTAGAGTAGTCTTAGCTATGTGTGCTAGTTTGATTTACATCTAGAGCAATTAGATGTAAAAAATGCTTTTCTTCATGGAAAACTTGAAGAAGAGATTTATATGCTTCAACCAGAAGGGTTTGAAGAAAAAGGAAAAGAAAACTTGGTTTGTAGGTTAACCAAATCTCTGTACGGTCTAAAGCAGGTGCCAAGATGTTGGTACAAGAGATTTGATTCCTTCATTATTAGCCTCAAATACAACAGACTAAGTTCAGACCATTGTACATATTACAAGAGGTTTGAAGATGATAGTTTCATTATTTTGCTGCTGTATGTGGACGACATGTTGGTAGCAGGTTCCAACAAAGATCGAGTCCAGGAATTAAAGGCACAATTGGCTAGGGAGTTTGATATGAAGGATTTGGGAGCTGTAAACAAGATTCTAGGGATGCAAATTCACCGAGACAGAAAAGACAAGAAAATTTGGCTTTCTCAAAAGAATTACCTCAAGAAAATCTTGCCACGCTTCAATATGCAAGATTGTAAGTCAATCTCTACCCCAGTTCCTGTCAATTTTAAATTATCCTCAAGTATGAGTCCTAGCAATGAAGCGGAGAGGATGGAAATGTCTCGAGTACTGTATGCATCAGCAGTGGGAAGCCTTATTTATGCCATGACCTGTACAAGACCATATATTGCTCAAGCAGTTGGTATGGTCAGTCGATTTATGGCAAATCCTAGTAAAGAGCATAGGAACGCTATAAAGAGAATCCTTAGATATGTTAAAGGAACCTCAGATGTTGCATTATGTTATAAAGGATCAGAATTTACTATCAAAAGCTATGTTGATTCAGATTTTGCAAGATGTCGATAAAAGAAAATCTATTACAGGCTATGTGTTCATACTTGCAGGAGGTGCAGTAAGCTGGGTATCAAAGTTGCAGACTGTTGTGGCCTTATCTACAACTGAAGCTGAATACATGGCAGCTACGCAAGCTTGTAAGGAAGCGGTTTGGATTAAAAGACTACTAGAAGAAATCAGACACAAACAAGAGAAAATTTCTTTGTATTGTGATAATCAGAGTGCCTTGCATATTGCTAGAAATCCAGATTTCCATTCTAGAACAAAACACATAGGTGTTCAGTATCATTTTGTTCGAGAAGTAGTAGAAGAAGGTAGTGTGGAAATGCAAAAGATTCACACAAAAGACAACTTGGCAGATGTCATGACAAAGCCAATAAACGCTGACAAGTTTATATGGTGTAGATCCTCCTGTGGCTTGTTAAAAACGTAAGCAACATGAAAGTGGCAAGTTTAGAAAGGATTGAGGAATAGTAACAAGTGAGTTTAAGTGGGAGAATGTGAGTTGTAAACTCACTTTTTACAACGTGGACTGTCAAAGATGGTGGCTGTCAAAGATGGCTGTCAAAGATGGCTGTCAAAGATGGTGGCTGTCAAAGATGGTGGGAAGCATTAATTGCCAAGGAACCACCAATGCACTTCTATAAATAGGAGTGTAGGAACTCAATAGAGAAAAGTTACCACTTTTATAATTTTCTCATTCTTTTGTTGTAGCAAAAAGTTATTTCTCCTATTTCTAAAGGGAATTTTATTTGTTTTTCTCCTTGTATTTTGAGAGAAGTTGTTGTAACTCATATTTTACTATAGTGGAAATCCTTCTTTACTTGTCCACGGTTTTTCTCTCAATTTATTTGAGAGTTTTTCACGTAAATTTCGTGCCTCAAATTTTTATTTGTTGTGTGATGTTGCTTCAACCCGCTTGTTTGATTTTTCTAACATGTTTTGATTCGTATATATTCAATTTTTAGATTGATTATTAGGGAAATGGTATTGAAGCTGGTTGTGCTTCAGAACTTCGTGTCAACTTGTTGATTTACTCCCTTTGAAGGCAATTATGCTGTTTCTTTTAATGGATGAATTCGCTTTTCGTTGAATTATTGACACATATATAGACACACACATACATGGTGTGGTGTTATATGTCCTGTTTTTTTTTTTATCATCATATTGTATGCTTTGTTTTTATGTCTTTGTCCTGAGTTCTCTGATTCAGTTTTTTACTTTTTTTCTTATTATGGATTGCGCAAGCATTACTTCTTATGTTTATCTGACCATCACTTTATCAAATGATATCTTGAGTTTTGTTTCACTAAATTGAGCATGTGAACTATTTTTTTTCTCTCTTTATACGTTGTTTTATCTCATTCAGTGTGTGTACTGTTGTGTGCTTACAAATTTATATATCTTTTTTGACTGATTGTGTATGGGACTTTGCAGGGAAAGTCACCATGGTTGATCAAGCTCAACACCCTACCGTCATGCAGAAGGTAGCTGGGCAGCTCCTTCAATCCAGTATTTCCCATCAAGGCTGCGAAGGAGCTTTCAACAGGCCCTCTGTGTATCAGAGACGTGCTGCATATGGGAACTACTCCAATGCTGCATTCCAATACCCCTTGGTGCGATCATGTGGAGCTACCACTGATTTGTCCATGGTACCATCGACTGCATCTACTGTTTTTGTCCAAGCCCCATCTGAGAAAGGTCTTGCTGGTTTTGCCATTGATTTCCTTATGGGAGGAGTTTCTGCTGCTGTGTCCAAAACAGCTGCAGCTCCCATTGAGCGTGTTAAGCTTTTGATTCAGAATCAGGATGAGATGCTCAAGAGTGGTAGGCTGTCTGAACCTTACAAGGGTATTGGTGATTGCTTTAAGCGTACTACTAAGGATGAGGGGTTTGTTTCTTTGTGGAGAGGAAATACTGTCAATGTCATCCGTTACTTCCCCACCCAGGTTAGTGCGTTTATTTTTTTATTATTATTATTTTTTTTTGGTTGAAATGGATTGCATGTTACTTATTATATATTTGATGCTAATTATTTTCATAAATTTGTACCAGGCCCTGAACTTCGCTTTCAAGGATTACTTCAAGAGGCTTTTCAACTTCAAGAAAGACAGGGATGGTTACTGGAAATGGTTTGCTGGCAACTTGGGATCTGGAGGTGCTGCTGGTGCCTCATCTCTACTCTTTGTGTACTCTTTGGATTATGCTCGTACCCGTCTGGCCAATGATTCCAAGGCTGCAAAGAAGGGAGGAGAGAGACAATTCAATGGTCTGATTGATGTCTACAAGAAGACATTGAAATCTGATGGCATTGCTGGGTTGTACCGTGGATTCAACATTTCATGTGTTGGAATCATTGTCTACCGTGGGCTGTACTTTGGAATGTATGATTCTTTGAAGCCAGTTCTTCTGACTGGAAAAATGCAGGTCAGTATAATGATTTGATTTGTTTGTTTCCCAATTAACGGATGATGATATAGTTATGTGTTATAACTATCATTAAGTTTCATTATTTCATTGACACTTGATATTTAGCATAACATCAGTTACAAGTAGTAGGGTTTGTATGTGTTATAACTAACATGATTTTGTTGTCACCTTATAAGTTCTAATGATTGTTTTTCACATGCTTTGCTTGAGTTTGTTTAATTTGTTCTTTGTCATATCTTTAATTCAAAGGAAACATGCAAATCTGTATCTGTCCTAGTATATGGGAACTACTCCAATGCTGCATATCTATCTCATCAGCCTCATTCTAAGAAGATGAGATAGAAATCTGCTTAACTTGTTAAGCATTTAAAAAGATAATGAATGGAACTTTGCACTTCACTTCATCTTCTAATGTTTTGTTTACTGGTTTTGATGATTCCAGGATAGTTTCTTTGCTAGCTTTGCCCTTGGTTGGCTCATCACCAACGGTGCTGGTCTTTCTGCATATCCCATCGACACCGTCCGTAGAAGAATGATGATGACATCTGGTGAAGCAGTCAAATACAAGAGCTCATTTGATGCCTTCTCTCAGATCTTGAAGAATGAGGGTGCCAAGTCCCTCTTCAAGGGTGCCGGTGCAAACATCCTCCGTGCTATTGCTGGTGCTGGTGTGTTGGCTGGTTATGACAAACTGCAGTTAATCGTGTTCGGAAAGAAGTATGGTTCTGGCGGTGGCTAAGCAGTATTTCTTTGCTATTTAGCTTAAGATGGTGATGAAAATCGGATATTGAGTATTTATCCCAGCGGATTTTTCTTTAATAATTCACATTTTTGGGGAGTCACTCCCTAAACACATAATTTAATTTTGGAATTTTTGATTGATTTCATAAACCTGATTTATAAGAGTTGTGGTCAAATACCACGATTGAACAAGCAATTTGCCTGTAAAAATCTATGGCTAGAAATATGCAAAATATATATATATATATATATATATATATAGCATCTTGGAGCAAAAGAAGATGAAAATTGGATTCCACTCTAGGGAATCTCTATAGAAATGAAAATGTCAAATCTCCATCGTCTATTGAGAATATAAACAGGCGAATCTGCATGTCACAATTGTGCTACCCTTTTTACTGTTTAATTTAGATTAAACAGTAAATTTGTAGCAGAATGAATCCCCAACTGCACTTGTACTTTCTTGGTTGGTTCTGAGTCGCTTGTCCCTCTTATATTCAAGGTTGGATCTTTGCCTAAAAACAGAGTTGCGATAATGGGAATTTCATGCTTTTTAGCTCGGCCGTGGCCCATGAATATATTATTTTATCTCCGTCCCCATTCCCTCCATCAAAAGAAAATGACACCTCATCCCCAAATTAGACTCTTTAGGATATGGGGATAATACTCATTTTATAATTTTTAATGACAAGTTTTAAGTTTTGCTTCGTATAAGTAAAACCTCTCTATAATGATATTCTATATAAAAATAACAATAATATTATACTTATAAAAAAATCTTATAAAAATTTTTATACAAAGTGAGGTGGTAAAAAATGAATGGAAGAGTGAAACAAAAAGTTAAACTCATTAAATTCACTCTTCTATTCATTTTTTGTCACATCACTTTGTATGAAGATCTTTGTAAAATTTCTTTGTAAATGTAGTATTACTTTAAAAATAAAGTCTATATAGTCATAAAAAATTGTATTCCCAATTTGGGATAGTTATAAATAAGAATAAACTCCACATTGTAATAAGTTATAATTTTTTTAATTCCTGTCTTAAGAAAAGTTAACTCCACATATTAATAATTATTTGTATATTAAAAAAAAAAAAATATGCTACCTTACATTAAAAGTTTAAGATGAAATAAAATATTTATCTAAAGTTATTTGGATGAATGATTTATGTTTTAGAGTTGTTACCACATCTCTTAACTTGCGAGTACATTACCCGCTAACAGAGACATCTTCTTGTTGAAGCCCAAATATTTCTAGCTTCTCAAGCATGTTTAGAGCTTACTGGCACGAAACTTTTTGTATTTCCCTACTATCATTCTCATGATTATTGCTTTTCTCTTCTTGTCTAATTGTAACAATGATTTCTTCTTCAGTTAAAGTATACATAACTTGTTGCTTGTTTGGATAATTGAGGAAGATATTAATATCCATTCGATTAGTGTAGTGAAATTGTCAAATCTGATCACTTCATTCTACTTTGATTCTTTGATTCTCCTTATCCACTTTATTTGTAACTTGCAATTAATTGACATCGAGGGTCCTAATTTTGTAATGCTTAAAACAATTGACAATTGTCAATGACTTCACATTAATTTGACCATGCAGCAATTGCATTTACAATTCTATCAAGGACACTTATCTTTATTGGATTCAAGACACAATCTTCTATCCGTTTTAAAAGTAAGCAATTGAAGTGCTGAATTGAAATTCTAATACTGTTAAAACATTAATTGAAATCCTAATACTGTACTACAAAAACATGAATTATAAAATAAGAAATTTTTATAACTACACCTCTATTAAGTTATAACCTCTTTATAATAATAAAATTAGTTAGTCCCACCATTATAACTATGGAGGGGTTTTACTCTCTATATATATATATATGAGAAGTTGAAATTAAATTATATTAAATATTACCAATAATATTCAACGATTTTAATTATGTATTTATATATCATCTTCTAATGGGGATATTAAAGATTAATGAAAAATTAAATACTCATTCATAGGGGTGAGCGATTCCGGGTACCCTGCACTTTCCGGGGGAACCGGAACCAAAACCGCACAGTGCAGATTTCCAGAAAAAGGAATCGGAATCGGAACCTCACAATGCAGGTTCTTCAATTCAAGGAACCGAAACCTAAAATGCAGGTTCCGATTCCTTTCCCGGGTATCCTGTAAAAAAATCAATTACCCCCCTATTAGTTTAAAAAATAACAAAAATACTTTAAAAGTTTACAAATACACCCCTAACAAATTTTGATTATTCATTCATTTGTGTCCAATGTAACTCATAACCTGTAATCTCTAGGCAACACTTGAATTCAATCAATTCATCACAATTCACATAAAATTCGTCAATCAAAACCAAAACATAAACAATTATTCATCACAATTCACATCAAATAACTTCACCAAAATCATTCAAACATTACATTATAATTATTAAATTATAATGTAATAGTATATTAATTAAGTGATCATACATAATGTAATGTTATAAATACTTATAATATTAGTGTTATTTAACATAATATAATGTTATAATCAATTAAATTTCTAATATTTATTAATTACTTATGTTTAATGTTTATAATATAATGTCATAATTAATTAAGTAATCATTTAATTGTGTAATGTTATAATTAATTAAGTGATCATACTATAATGTAAATTGTAATGTAAATTAATTAAGTAATATACTATTAATTATAATAATATTATAATTAATTAAATTGTTAATCATTTAATTAAGTATTGTAATATTGTATAATAGAATGTTATAATTAATATGTAATCAACTAATATTCAGGCGACTTAACCCTTAGGCAGGTACCCGCCTAGGGCCCCCAAAAAAGGGTGTTAAAAAGAGGGTCCCAAATTAATTTTAAAATTTTTTAATATATTATAATTTTTTTTTCATCAATCCCACCATATGCATTTACTCGCCTATGCATCCTCTAACCTCTACCTCTACCCAAAATGATTTTTTTAAGAGTTTTTAATATAATATTTCTCAATTCTCCATCCAATTAACCCTGCTATCTCTTAAACTAAAACACAAATGGCGGCTCACTTTTCCGTTGCAATTTGAAACACTTTGACAACTCTAACTTCAAATGTCAATCACAGCTCGTCTACCCCCCAAATCACCATCTCTTATATAAACCTCATTTCATTCAAGGTTTTCTATCTTTTTACTCTTATTATTCTACCTCATTTCTCATTTCTTATCTATTTACTTTCTTGTCTCTCATCTATCTATTATCTCTCCTTTCTCATCCTTATTACATGAATTTATGATGTGAATGTGATTATATTATTATTTTTAGCAAGGTAATATTAAGAGTTTTAAATCATTTTAATCTTAGCATGTTAACTGATTTTACTTTATATTTGATCAAGTGATTTACATTATTATTTTTATGCAGGGTATAATATAAGATTTTTGAGTATTAACACAGCAAAAAGCAAAAAGGAGCATAAATCAGGTGCTAAAATTCCTTCTTAATTTTTATAATTATTTTATTTAGCAAAATAATATTAAAGCTCTAAATTATTTACTCTTTGAATATAAATGTCTACTAGGAAGTGTGAATCTAGATTGAAAACGTAAGGAAAAAAAAGAATAGAAGAAATAATTCAATCCCAAAAAGGGCACTTGATAATTTTTATTAATACAAAACACCAATGCTAGAAAAACCAAATGAAGATTAAATGAAAAACAATTGAAAATTGTGAGAGAATTCTTAAGATAAACAATTCAAATCATCAAATACTAGTGAAGAGTCTCATGAAAATTTAGAAGAAGAAATTCTATTCGACAAAAATGAAATATGAATGATGAAGATGAAACAACCATTAAAAATATTTATGACCCATACACTGAATAATTTAGACACAAATTTATGTGATTTATTAGTTGAAAAAGTGTCCAATTAGACAAGTTTTAGATTTCCAAGAGATGAAAATTCTAGACGTTTTCTATAATCATTTATTCGAAAATTACCAAATGGAAAAACATGATAGAAAATGGTTAGTATTTCAAAAGAATTAAATAAAGTATTTTGTTTTTGTTGTAAATTATTGTTTAAAAGCAATACAATTCAATTAGCAAATGAAGGGTGTGGAGATTGAAAAATCTTAGTGTCAAGCTTAAAAGTCACGAAATAAGTAATGAACATGCTATAAATATGAACATTTGGGTTGATGTTAAGATGAGATTGCTTAAAAACAAAATAATTGATAAATATTTAAAAGAGAAAATAAATAAGAGAAAGAGCATTGGAAGAATGTAACTATTAAGAATTATAGCGGTCGTAAAAAATCTTTCAAAAAACAATTTGGCATTTCGTGTACAAATGAGAAGATTTATCAGAAAATAATGGAAATTTTTAAGTTTAATTGAAATGATGCTGAGTTTGATCAATAATACAAGAACACCTTAGACGTATTCAAATGGAGAAATTCATACCTATCTTGGTCATAATATACAAATGAGTTGATAATATTTTAGCATTAGAAATAAGAAATACCATTATTAAAAATCAAAGAATCAAAATATTTTTTTTAGTTATACTGATTGTACCCCAGATACAAGTCATCAAGAACAAATGTCACTTATATTAAGATGTGTAAAATTTTCAATAAGTCCAATAAAAATAAAGAGTACTTTATAAATTTTATAAAAGTGGATGATACTTCTGGTCAAGGCTTTTTATGTTCTCACAAGTATATTAAAAAATCTTGAACTTGATGTAAATAATGTGAGAGGAAAAGATATGATAATGAGTCTAATATGAAAGGTAAACATCAAGGTGTGCAAAAAGATTATAGATATAAATTCTAGAGCATTTTATACACCATGGGTTGTTATAGTCTTAATTTAGTTTCTTGTGATATGGCTAATTCATGTGCTAATGCTATTACATTTTTTGGAGTGTACAAGTATATATCATTATTCTCTTCTTCTACAAAACGATGGAAATTTTGCAAGATCATGTTCTATTTGAACCTTAAGCCATTATCACAAACACGTGGGAAAGTCGTGTTAAAAGTGTTAAAGCAATAAAATTTCAAGTCCCACAAAATAGAGATGTTTTATATCAATTAGCAGAAACTAGTGAAGAGTTTGTATCAATTAGC